GGGGGGGATGTTTGCTGGTTGGAAGGCAACAATTAAAAATATCAATCGGTTTTGGGGAGCAAAATACAATTCCCAGAAGGGAAAGGGGGGGGAAGAGATGGGGAAGCGTGAGATTTTTTTAATTTAAATTTTACCCTCTCCGCCTAAATTTAAAAAAAATAATAATTTTTTTTTAAAATGTGTTTTTATAATTTTTTTTTTCCCACCCCCTTCCTTTGCCCCCTTTCCACGCGTGGCTCCGTTGGTAAACAAACGGGCGGGCGGGGGGCGGGGCGGCGGGGTTCTGCCTTTGTTCAACGTGAAGGTCCCGGCCCGGTGCTGGCAGATGTCGCTGTTGCTCCACGGTGACGCTCCCGGTCCCGACAACTTGACCCCCGTGACGTCGTCCCCGTCTGAATCATCAAGGCCATTTTCAATCCTCATTGGCCTGGGCATCACGTGGGGGGGTGGAGGGGGGGAGAGCGATGCGTGGATAATTATGGTGCTTGATATTTTTTCCCCCTAAAAAAAAGATGTCAGCCCCTGGCTGGAGTATTCCTCCTTAAAAACCCTCTCTGAAAATGTCATGTCCCAACAATGTGACTTCTAACTCGTTTTTGATGGACTCGTTGGCCGGTACCTGTAGAGGGGAGAATTATTCCTCCAGCCAAGGGATGTACATGCAGCCTGGGAGCGATTTCAGCTGCGGAGTCATGAGGAACTGTGGAATTATCCCGTCTCTTTCCAAAAGGGACGAGGTGAATAGCGCTACCTTGTCTCTCAGCACCTATCCATCTTACCTTTCTCAGCTAGACACTTGGTGTGACCCCAAAAATACGTACAGGATCGAGCAACCTGTTGCAAGACAGCTCCCATCCTGCTCCTTCCCAACCAATGTCAAGGAAGAGAATGTTTGCTGTATGTATAACGCTGATAAAAGAGCAAAAAATGCCACAGAGACAGCCCTCTACCCCAACCAAATGCCTGAGTCTTGCCTAAATGACCATGAAGTCCCCGTTCCTAGCTACTACCGAGCAAGCCAAGGTTACCCCTCCATGGAGAAGACGTCAAACTGCAGCAATCCAAATGAGTTTGAGGCAAGTTTTGAATCCAGGGCGAGCCTGAACCCAAGGAATGAGCATCTGGAACCAGCACCACCACCTCCTCCACCTCCTCCGCCGCCCCCGGTGGCTAAAGTGAGTTTTCCCGAAAACACAAAAACAGATAATACGCAGAACACATCCACGAACGAAATTAAAACAGAAAAAAGCGCCCCAGCACCCAAAATAAGTCCTTCGGAAGCAGAGAAAGAGCTGAATAAAAACACTGACACCAGCACTGACAATTCTGACAATGAAGCAAAAGGTAAGGGAATCATTCATTACCAGTAGCTAATTTCAGCAATTAGTAATCATCCATAGCTAATAAGAGCAAGAGTAATGCGAATATGCAGTAATGTGCTCTCTACCCTGCCAACTTCTCCTCCAGAAATTGGCACCGTAATGTTCTGTATTGTTGCTGTCTTTTGGAAAAAAAAAAAATATTCTTCCTAGAAATGTTGCGGGTTTTTAAATATATATATATATTAGAGCTGAGAAAAAGGAGCAGAGAGCTATTTGAGAACTCGTCCTCTCGCTGTTTATATGGAGAAAATTTGCTGTGCATGTACTTATGGAAAAAAAAAAAAAGAAAAAAAATTGATCCTTGCAATCAACGCTGCAGAATGTAATAAGATGAAGTGATTTCCTCTGAAACGGCAGAGACTTGGGGTTGGTTTGTTTGTTTGCTTGGGGGAGTTGTTTTAGGTGGGTTTTGTGTGTTTTTTAAGACAGATGAACCCTGATCCCCCCCCCCTTCATATTGCTTTCTATGCAAATGCTTTATTTCCGTGTGCTGAAAGAATTTGTCTCCTTTGGCTTTGCTCGGTGTAAAAGTGGGGTGAAAAAAACAAAACAAAACAAAATTAAGCTGCGTTAGAGTCTAATTTGCAGTTCCAAACATCTCAGGCTGGAGTTGTGCACTGTGGCTCATTTCATGGCTTGGCAGCTCGTTGGGAGACTCAGAGAGGGAAAAAGCTGCTTCTTTTTTTTTTTTTTTTTTTTTCCTGGCGAATTGGGGTCTTTTTTGCGAAGGCAAAAAAAAAAAAAAATGTTTCTGTGTGTTGAGCAGATGTTTTAAGTTTGGGATTGTCTGAAAAGAGGCTTTCATTGAGCGCATTTTATTTTCACTGTAGGGATTGCATATGGCTTGAAATCTATGCGCGTGTGAATATTCGGGTTTGTTCCCGTCCTAATTCGAAGCGAGGTGGATGCAGAGGCTTCTTGCAGGTCAATAAGTGGGCATCATGTGAAGGGATGGATTGAATTTCCCGAAAAAGTTGGAGGGAAATTTCCTTGGTGGCAAATACTGCTCAGATCTAAGCAACGGCTTGCATGGTTTGCCTGTGGTATGTGGATTAAAATATCCGCCGTGTGTCGGGAGCTGTGCTATAATTAGGGCTCCAGCAGCAGCAGGATGGTTGGGGTATGTGGCGTTGTATGTGCATGCAGGGCTGCATGCATGTGGGTCGCGTGTGGACCCCCATGCACACACGCCTCGGGTCTGTGGCACCAGCAAAACCCATCCTCTGGCGTCTCCCCCTCCAAAATTGGCCTTTTTAAAAGCAGAACCCAGAAACACTTCTTTATTATTATTTTTCCCCCCTCATTTTTTATTCTTTCTTCCTCTTTTTTTTTTTTTTACCATTCCGCATCCAAAGGGAAATGATATTATCTGACAGTTGAGTTACAATTACACACACCCAAAAAAAAAAAAAGGCAAAGTCAAGGTTATCAAAACCCCCGCAAACTTATCTGCACAAAGCGCCTTCAATGTCCACGCCAAGAGAGGTTTTGGTGGGAGTTAACCCGAAAGAAAGATTATATTGGGTTGGATTTGTAATTGGGGCGGAAATAAAGAATGAAATAAATACAGATAAAGGTTTTCTGTCGCTTCAGATGTTGAATTTCAAATGGGTGCGCGGAGAAAGACGTGGTTTCCCCGATTTTTTGTGCGTTTTAAAAGGCATTTCGTGGTGTTTGCGGTGTTTTCGAATGGTTAGATCCAATTTGGGAAGGATTTTGTTGGCTTCTGTTTCTGTTGCTTCCCTTGAAAATCTTTTATAGCTTGAGTTTTCGTTTGTGTTGAACCCGAATTTTTATTCGTGCAGAAGGTAAGAGACCTTTCTCATGTAATTTAAGCATTCGGGGGGGGGGAGAGAGATAGTGTTTCCAAGGGGATTTCCAGGGCTTGGTGACATTAAAGGTTTCCTGCAAACGCGAAAGTGGGTCCATGTCACACCAGCAAATTTTGAAGGTGCCTTTGGCCAAATCAAGTTGGGTTTTTCGGTTGGGTTTTTTTTTTTTTTTTCCTTTGAATTTTGCAAATGCACTGCCGGGGGGGAGGTGGGTTTGCTACAACTGCAGGATCCGCTTTGCTTTTTCTTACAGTTTAGGCAGAAATATTGGCCGGCTGCTGGTGCCAGGATTTTCTCATGACCAAATTCAAAGCCCAAGTATTTGCTGTGTTTATTTATGTACGTGTGAAATACGTTTGCCTTTGCAAAGTGTATGTGTGCGTATCTATACGAGTGTGGAGAGTGAGGAGAGTGAATATGGGATTACAATTACCTCCGAATTTACCTATATGTGCCCACACAGCTCATAAAGGCAAATCTATTTCATAAAACCCCGGCTCGCGAAAAAGACCCTTGGACGGAAAGAGATCTCCGGGACGAGCGAAAATAGATTTATTTTCCCCGCATAAACACGCCTTTAGCAAATATTTCACCCTCTGCGGTTCATTTTGAAGACCAGATAATATATTTTTCTTTTCTTTTTGGGTGGGGTGGCAAAGGGTGACTTGGGGAAGCCCCGAGAGCTACGGACGACTCAGAAAGTCACATTGCTGACCTCAGATTATTTTGAATTAGTGGTATTTTAAGCCCCTCCATCCCGCCTAGTGAAGCCAGAATAAATCCATACCGTGATATCATCCAGCCCCCGCGGTGGGGGAGAGCGGAGCGGCGCGGTTTCTCCGCGCTGCCCCGCTCCGCCTGCGCGGCTGAGAGGTGAAGGTGCGCGCTGCTACCACCGATTTTCTCCCAGGCACCCAATGGCTTAAACCACCCCCTGACCTCCTCCAAACCTGCCTTTTCCTCCCTAAAACAGGCAGGAGAGCTTTTTTTTTTGCCAAAGAATCTGGTTTGCCAAATGATGCAGTCGGTAAGTTCTCTTTCCCATTCCCCGGATACTTATGTAACGATGTTATTTTTAACAGAGGATATAAAGGCAGAAAACACTACAGGAAATTGGCTGACAGCAAAGAGCGGAAGAAAGAAAAGGTGTCCTTACACCAAGCACCAGACGCTGGAGCTGGAGAAGGAATTCTTGTTCAATATGTACTTGACCCGTGAGCGCCGCCTGGAGATTAGTAAGAGCATTAACCTGACAGACAGACAAGTCAAAATCTGGTTTCAAAACCGCAGGATGAAACTCAAGAAAATGAACAGAGAGAACCGAATCCGTGAACTGACTTCTAATTTTAATTTCACTTGAGTGTGCTCCAGCCCCTGTGCAGGCGAGGGAGAGAGGAGAGAGAGAGAGAGGGAAAAAAAAAATAAAAAAAAAACCACACAGGAAAAAAAAAAAAGCCTTGTGCAGTTTGGGGGTTTATTTTATTTTATTTTAATTTTTTCTTTTCCTCCCGAGAATAAATGCAAAGCGTATGCAAAAATAAAAGGACCTCAAGTGATTTGGGTATTTACAGTTTGTAGAGAGAAGATGCAGCGGTATGAGCATGAGGATATATATTGCATCCGTGTTTCTATGTAAAATAAAGATGGAGATGGTTGCTAAAAACCACCTTATAAAATGTTTAAGTTATTTACGTGCAGCACAAAACAGAAGGACCTTTCTCTATGCATTTTATGTTTAGGATAATAGATGCGTCCAAAAGTTTGCTTTTCATATTCTAGTGTAGTC